ACTTTACATTGAGGATATGAAAGCGTTCATCTTCATTAGGGGTTGTGACTTCAATCTCAGCATCAAAACGCCCAGACCTTCTTAGAGCCGGATCGATTGAATCCACTCTGAACATACATCACATGAACCTAACGTTAATCCTAAGTAACACTTGAAAGTAAAAAATGTACAAAAGGTAAAGAATACAACAAATTAGATATACACAACTGATACACAAATTATGGTTGGTGTATAGAATTCACGAAGATCGTAGCATGGTCTTAAGAATCCAAACGCTTGTTAAATTCAAAAGGAGATGCTTTATCCCCCGTCATAATGGAGAGAATTAATATTACTCTATTATAAAAGAAAATGAATAATACCATCCCCCAACCCATCATGATCCCAACATAAAAGGTTGGCTTTCTCTGGTCGTGACCAAGAGGCAATCATGGCACATCACCATCTTCATTGTACAAATGGTGGTACCCCCAAAAGCAACAATACCAAATTAGTGATCACCTTTCATAATGAAATATAGCACATCTACAAGTTTTAAAAAATCTAACAGGATGATGTGATTCCCTAAATAGTCCTCCGTCAAAAATTCTCGAAATAGTCCTCCGTCAAAAATTCCATCTAATACCAAAATACCCTTTATTTCACTAGCATTTAATGGACATTTTTGGCGGATGACTATTTAGGGAATAAATCTCAATTACAAAGGATCATGTTGGTAATTATTATTTATTGAGGACTGATTTGGGAAAACACCTTATTAGAAAGGACCGTTTTGAAAATTCACTCTAATTACAGTCATTGGTTGCTTGGCTTGGTTCAGACAACCTCAGCCTTGAACGATATTTGATTACTCAAGCATTAAAAAATAAATATGGAGTAGAATTAAAAAAACACTCAGTACTTCATTAGGATGTGATGCAAGCTGACTAGTTTGTTAACAAGAAAAGCGTATCCAAATTCATCAATATATAAACGGAAAACGATAATTTACTCCCTTGAAGTATTACTTGAACGGTTGAACCTACCTATTAGTTGCTGCTACAACTACTACATGTACTCCAGATGCTGAAAACGACTTATTGGAGTCCATCAACATAAATAGTTGAGAAGCT